CTATCAAGAAATCAACCAATAGGGCCCGGGATTTAGCTCAGTGATTCTGCTGCCTGCCTCACAAGTGCAAGGTCCTGAGTTCGATACCTGGTACCAAAAAAAAAAAAGAAAAAAACAAAAACAAAAAACCAAGAAATCAAGCAAAAACAAATGCTGGTGGGGTTGTGGGGAGAAAGGAACCCTTCTTCATTGTTGGTGGGAGTGCAGACTGGTGCAACCACTGTGGAAATCAATGTGGAGATCCCTCAAACAGCTAGGATTAGAAGTCCCATTTGACCCAGCTGTTCCTCTGCTGGGTATCTTCCCAAAAAGAATTAAAAGAATCATACCACAGTGATATTTGCTCACTCATGTTTATAGCAGCACAGTTTGTAAGAGCTAAAGCTTGGAAACAGCTGAATTGCCCATCAGCTGGAGACTGGATAAAGAAGATGTGGGTTTTTTTTTTTAATAAAATGGCATACTATTCAGCCATAAAGAATGAGAAACTAGAGACATTTATTGCTAAGTGGATGCACATTGAGGCCATACTCCTAAGTGAAATAAACAGGACACACGTGTAAATACTGAATAGTTTCTCTGGTGTGAAGAACTGAAAGTGTGAATAAGGATCAAAATGTATAATTGATATTGTGTAATAGGAAGAAATGGTCTTAAGGAGTAGGGGAAGTGGAAGGGGTTGGGGAAAGGAAAGAAGGGAATAGAAAAAATACTAGAAAAGAAAAACATGGAAACAAAGTCTTTGTAAATAGGGAAGGGTGGAGGAGGTGAAGGGAGGGGAGGGGAATGGGAAAAAAATAAGAACCAAGATATCAGGTAAGGTACAAAATCCCAATTATGACTGTAACTGTATGCTTAAAATGTACCAATAAACTCAGTGGAAAAAGAGATCCATGTTGTTTTAGTTACTTTCTCATTGCTTGGACATAAACCCTGATACCCACAAGATAAAGGAAGGAAGGTTTGTTTAGCTCACAGTTTGTAGAGGTTTCAGTCCATAGGTGGCTAGCTCCAAGGCAGGGTGGCATGGCAGAGCGGCATGGCAGAGAAGAAACAGTTCACGGCAGGGCAGGCAGGAAGCAGCAAGGGTGCCTTCCATCTGTCCCTTTATATTCCATCCAGGCTGCAAGTCTGCTGGTTGGTGCCACCCACACCCAGAGCAGGGCTTTCCTCTTCAGTAATCCCATCATCCACAGTCACACCAAGCCAATCAGTGGACTAATCCAGTTATCACACAACCATAGTCCACTATCACATACCCGTGATCCCATTACCTCCACATGAGGCTTTGGGGGGGGGCGCATCTAGATTAAGCCATAACACACGTGAATTTAAAAACAGTTGTTTCACAACTTCTCTATTAATTTTGTAGGTGTAAAAACTGGAGTCTAGGATAAGGTAATAAGTTTGCTTTTGGTCATGCAGCTAGCTGATACTCATGGTGGATAGAAAACCTGGGTCTTCAGATTTCTAGGTCAGGGTTGTACTTCATTGAAGCTCATATGCTTTGGCTTTTGGACTTTTTGCCTATATATAATGAGATCGTTTGGTGGTGGAATTCAAATGTAAACAGAAAATTCATTTATGTTTCATATGCACCGTATACAATACTCTGAAGTTTACTTTATGCAGTATTGTTAGTACATTTGGGTTTTTACTGCAGCCTGTCACAGGAAGTGGAAATAGACATTGGAGAGGCTTGATGTTCAGGACTGGCAAATAACATTTTAATGAGTCAGGGAAGGGAGTTTTCAAAGATTCTGAAATACCTAGCCTGGTGGATTAGAAGAATGCTGTTCCATGTGTGCCAGTGAAAAGGCTGAGAGAAGCAATTTGCTTTAAGGAACAGAATTGAAACAGAACTTGGACTTTTAGGAAAAGGGAAAATAAGAGTATCTTAAGAAGTGTATAGTTATTGCATAGAAGTTTGAGGTGCTGCTAAGGCAGGAGGAAGGGCTGGAAATGGAAATTCCTTTAATAAAATTCTGTGAAAATGCTTGTTTTATTTCAGAACAAAAGAACATGTTAGAATAATTTGTGTTTTGAGTTTATAATACGTCATGTATAATATTCATACTGAGTGAACTGGAGATTTTAAATCCTGACCTAAATTTTGTATATTATTTTGTAAGTTCTAGTCAACAAATTCCTACGTAGAAAGTAAATGTAGAAAGCCATTAAAAATTGGCTCTAGAAACAACTAATTGTGATAGTATACATGTACTCATGTTATAAAGGTAGTATGTTAATTTATAAATATTCCTCCATCGGTATTTAAATAGTTTCTATCATAATTAAAATGGCATTTGGCTACACTACTGGAATTTACAACTCATCAGAAAGCCAGGCGTGGTGGTGCATGCCTGTAATGCGAATACTTGGGAGGCTGAAGCAGGAGGATCACCTCAAGTTTGAGCCTGGCCAACATAGTGAGCTCAAGGGAGGCCTGCACTACAAAGCAAGACTCTGTTTCAAAAACAAACAAACCATACAACTCATCAGAATTTTCATCTTCAGGGCAAAGATGCCTTTTGACATTTATTTTTATTATTAGCGTGTATAGTGACTTTTTCTTGCTTTCCTTTTGGTTTATAGGTCTTATCCAGCCCATTCCAAGAAACCAATTTTTCCAAAATTATTTTAATAATAATCTTGTAAATGAAGCAGATAGACCTTACAAGTGTTTTTACTGTCATCGAGCATATAAAAAATCTTGCCACCTTAAACAACATATCAGGTAAGGCAACATAGGTTGAGAGGCGGAAATTTAGTACAGTTGCAGAGATTTAATGATCTGGTCATGTCTAGAAGTATTTAGGATGTTATTATTAGCTTTTGGTATTTAAAATATCACATTTGACCTCAAAATATTTGTTGGTAATTGGCATTTTTTTTATTCTTTAGTGTGTTTTTTTTTCTTTCTTTCTTTCGTGCACCAGGGATTGAATCCCAGACCTTGCACATGTTAGGTAAGCTTTCTACCACTGAGGTATGCTCCCAGCCCATTTTTGAAAATTTTATTTTGACACAGGGTCCTGGATAAGTTGCCCACACAGGCCTCAAACTTGAGATCCTTTTGCTTCAGTCTCCTAAGTAACTGGGATTATGTAGTGTGTACCACTGGGTGTGGTGACTCACACTCCGGGAGGCTGAGGCACAAGGATTACAAGTTTGAGCCCAGCCTGGGTGAATTGGTGAGATCCTGCCTCAAAACAAAAAATAAAAAGGGCTACGAATATGGCTTAGTGCAAAAGCCCCAGGTTCAATCCCTAGTACAAAAAAGAAAAAAAAAAAAGGGTGTGGGCACCCCTGTGCTCAGCTCTTCAGTGTCTCGACTAAAGTATTTTACTCAGAAATTTGCTGCCGAATTTTACCTCTATTCCAATTATATTTTAGTATTTGCAATTTCCAGGACTATCAAAGAAGTGTTTGGTTGGATTAGAATTTCCTCTAAGTTTTTTAAGTGTATACATCTGAGTTTTAATTCCTGGTGCTTGCATCAGTGAAAAGAAGGTAGACCTTTGATCATGGGGGACAGTGTAACATGGAAAAAGTTTAGAATTTAGAAGACATGAATCCTCATTTCGTATTGTAGCAGCTCTGTGTCTTTGGCAAGTCACTTAGTCACTTGAGTCTCAGGCTTGTCCTTTGCAAAATATAAAGTGTTATGTCTTTGTCGCCTAATTAAAAAATGCGATGATCATGTGAAATATATACAAGAGTATGTTCTAAATATAAAACAGTCTAAAAGTGTAAGAAACTTAATCATTACAACTTTTTTCTTTTTAGATCACATACAGGTGAAAAACCTTTTAAATGTTCTCAGTGTGGAAGAGGCTTTGTTTCTGCAGGTGTGCTCAAAGCACACGTCCGGACGCACACTGGACTGAAGTCTTTCAAGTGTCTAATATGTAATGGAGCCTTCACTACTGGCGGTAGCTTACGGCGACACATGGGCATACATAATGACCTCCGTCCCTATATGTGTCCTTATTGCCAGAAAACATTTAAGACCTCACTAAATTGCAAAAAGCACATGAAAACCCATAGGTAGGCATAATTCTGATGATGACTTTTTATCTTTATAATTCTAAGATAGTGATGGGGAACATTCTTAGGAAATAATTGTCTGATTCCTGTACTGTTTCCAAGTTGGAGTATATGGGCCAAAGGTACTTAACTCCAGTGTCTGGGGCTCTTTTGAGAGCCATTGATAAAAGCATTGACATTTTTAGTTTTAACATAAAACTGAGGCAGTGTATTTTTGGCCAAGTGTTTTTGTTGCAAATTATCTTTTTAAAGCTCATTGTCAATCATTAGATGAAACCCTAGACTATGCCTGCTACAGTCAGGTGGTAAAGATTTAAAAACGAAAATCTTGGTAGACCTTGTGATTTCTGGTCATGTTATTAGTGAATCTCAGGTGTAATGATTCTCTGTTGTTGAGTTAAAGAATATGTTTCAGATATCCCATGAGCCCATCATTCAGTGTAGCCTGCATTTTCACTTGACTGGAGGGCTAGGTCATCTCTACTGGAGGTAATCCAAAAGAGATGCATTCCTGATAAGAGCTTGGGCTTGCTAGATGTGTGACATGCATTTTGCAGTGTCATATAGAGCATGGATAAGACAGCTATATTCTGTATTTGTTTTTTCTTTTCTTTTTTTTTTTTTTTGGTACCTGGGATTGAACTTGGGACCTTGCGCGTGTGAGGCAGGCAGTGGAACCACTGAGCTAAATCCTCGGCCCCATGGCAGCTTCTTTGAAATGAGTTACTAGCCTATTATGAAAGTGTTAAGCTTTCTGCCTTGGAGCATTTACTTTAGGACAGACAGTAGTTTAACATAGATACTACTTCTTCCTCTTCCTCCCCGCCCCCCTTTCCTCCTGTGTTCCCTACTAAACCAGACTTGAAGTGTTGAAATAAATTCACTGTGATAGTTTTTTGTTGTATGTTTGCAGTGTGCCTAATGTTGGGATTACACTTTTTAAGAATCTTATTAGCTGAGTGTGGCAGTACATGGCTGTAATCCCAGCATTCTGGGAGACTAAGGCAGAAGGATTGCAAGTTTGAGCCTAACCTGGACAATTACCATCTTAATGAGACTCTGTCTCAAAGAAAATTTCTTTTTAATTGGCCTTTGAGAGCGGATATTGTATTTCATCCGTGTGTTTGAAATGTTGAGAGTTCCTAAAATATCACACACTTAGAGTAAAAACTTACATACATGGCTGGTAAAATTAATGAAAAACAAAAATCTATAGGCAAGCAAGAAGCAGGAAGAAAACAAGCCTCCACCTGTTAACATGTGAGACACAAGTCGTCAAGGAAGAGCCATAAAGGCAGACAGGGGTGAATCACTGCACAGAATAATTGCAGTAAAGTGTAATGGCATGTTTTCTGATACTACATTTTCCTTGTCATTCATCTGTTGATGGGCATATAGGCCACTTGATAATTTAGCTATTACAAATTATGTTGCTATAAATATGAGGATGCTTGTATCACTACGATATTATGTCTCTAACTCAGGGAGATACTCAGAAGAGGTATAGCTGGGTCAAGTGGAATTTCTATTTTTAGTTTTTTAAAGAATCTACATACTGATTTCCATAGTGGTTGTACTAGATTACATTCCCACCAACAGTGTAAAAAGGTTCCTTTTTCCCATAACCTCGCTAGCATTTAATTTTGAGTTTTGATAATAGCTGTTCTTTTTGGAGTTAAGAGGGAATCTCAGTATTGTTTTGATGTGCATTCTTCTAATGGCCAAAGATGCTGAACATTTTTTCATATACCTGTTGGCCATTTGTACTTCTTTTGAAAAGTGTTAGTTCATTTTCTTTTCTTTCTTTTTTTTTGTTTGGGTTCTTTAAATATTCTAGATATTAGTCCTCTGGGGCGTAGCTGACAAATTGATTTTCCCATTCTGTAGGTTGTCTTTTTGCTTTGTTGAATGTTTCCTTTGCTGTGCAAAAGTTTTTTAATTTGATATAATGCCATTTGTTGATTCTTGGTGTCATGCCTTGTGTAACTGGGCTCTGTTCAGAAAGTCCTTGCCTGTGCCTGTGTCTTCAAGAGTTTTACCTGTTTTATCTTCTAGCAGATTCAGTGTTTCGTTTTTATATGTAGATCTTTGATCCATTTTAATTTGATTTCAATATGGGGTGAGAGATATGGCTCTAGATTCATTCTTCTGCATATGGATAACCAGTTTTCCTAGCACCATTTATTAGTGAGGCTATCTTTTCTCTGGTGTATGTTTTTGGTCCCTTTGTCAAAGAGCAGATGGCTGAATGTGCCTGGCATTGTTTCTGTATCCTCAGTTCTATTCTACTGATCCACATGCTTGTTTTTGTGCCCGTGCCATGCTGTTTTTATCACTGTAGTTTTGTCAAATTGTTTTTTTGGTTTTGGGGGGGTTTTTGGTACCGGAGATCGAACTCAGTCCTTGTGCTTGCAGGGCAGGCAGCAGTGTAGCTTTGTAATATAACTTGAAATTCAAGTTTGTAAGCCTCCCACTTTGCTCTTGTTTCTCAGGATTGCTTTTACTGTTCTGGCTCTCTTCTGGTTCCATTTTAGCATCATTTTTCTAAGTCAGGGAAGAATGCTGTTGGTTTTTCATTGGGATTGCATTAAATATTGCTTTTAATAATATGACTATTTTGAAATCTTGGTTATGCTTTTCTGGGAATGAGATGTCTTTCCATTTTCTGATGTCCTCTTCAATCTTTTTTTTCAGAGTACTGTAGTATTCCTTATAAAGATCTTTCACTTCCTTATTTAGGTTAATTTCTAGGTATTTTTTTCCTTTTTTTTTTTAAAGCTAGTATGAATGGGATTGTCTTCCTCATTTCTTTCTCGATGAGTTTATTGTTTATTGTTGGTGTACAGGAATGCTGTTGATTTTTGTGTGTTTATTTTATATCCTGCTACTTTGCTGAATTTGTTTATTAGTTCTGAGAGTTCTTTGGTAGAGTTTTTTGGGTCTTCTATGTAAAGGATCATGTCATCTGTAAATAAGGATAGTTTGACTTCTTCCTTTCCTATTCAAATATCTTTTAATTTCTTTCTCAGGCCTGATTGCTCTGACTGAAGTTTTGAGTACTATATTGAACAGGAGTGGTGAGAGTGGATATCCTTGACTTGTTTCTGAGGGGCGTTCTAGTTTTAAACATGCGAGATCTTATGTCAGTTTTTTAAACTTTGAAAAATTCTGATGTACGTTGTGTGACTTTTCTCTTTGTGCATTCCTGTCCTGTGGCCTGTGGCTGCACTTCAGGCATGGTTTTCTTCAGAATTATTAGTAGCATTTAGTACTTGCTGGATTGTCATCATGACTTCAAAATATAACAATTTAAGAATAAAAATGTTATTAAATAAATTGCAGTATCTATAGTTGTATCCCAGGCAAGCACTGTTGATAGCATCTAACTTTATGAATTAATGTTGCTTTTTTTAAAGATATGAACTTGCCCAGCAGCTTCAGCAGCACCAGCAAGGTGCTTCAGTTGATGACAGCCCCATGGACCAGCAGAGCATGCAAGTGTCAGCTCCCTTGCCAGTAGAGATTGAGAGCACTGAGCTGCAGCAGACGGCTGAGGCAGTCACAGCAGACCCTGAGGCCATGCTGGACCTGGGGCCACAGCATGTGGTTGGCACAGAGCAGGGAGCACTTGGGCAGCATCTGACAGATCAGCCTTTGGAAGCCGATGAAGGTGATATTTCTGGAGTTTTAACTTATAAAATGATCCTACCATGTTTCTCAGCCTGTCGTACTCATTTTGGTCCCTACTGGGATATCTCCTCTTTGACTTTATGGACTATAGTTTGTGCTGTGTATGTATGACTGTGTGCATGTGTGGTTTTGACATTTTATGTTGCCTGTCCTAGTCTTTAATTAGACTTTTATTCAATTTTATTAGATTTTCGTTTGTTTTAAATATAATCTGACTTCTTATAGCAAATTTTGAAAGTATTAAATAACTTCAGACTTTAGCAAGATCTCCTGTATTTTTTTGGTGTGGGTTCTTCCAGTTCTTTCTAAGCAACTGTTCAGGCATGTTTGTTTATAGTCATCTGTGTGAACATGTTCCCTGTGCTTACCGAAATACGGGCCTTTCCATGCTTGCGTTTTGTAACTTGCTTGCATTCCATAATATATTGAGAGAATGTTTCCTTTTACATGTATGTAATCTATATAATCATTAGTATTTAAGGAGAGTACACTTAGAGTGGAGATTCACCGACAGAAACAGGTCAGCAAACTGTTTCTTCCTGTTTGTGGTGGGATTAGGTGCCTGATCCAAAATATAAAGTAACATGTTCTTTCCTTCATTAATAAAGCTGGGCTGCAAAAACTGTCAACTCAACCATAGCAGTGTGCTTAGAGCTGTAGATGATTTGCATTTTGGCACAGGCTTCTTATCTTACCCAAGTTTGTTAGCAAATAGTTTGCTGACCAAGTTACTGTTTTGTTTTATGAATGTCCCAAAATATATTTTAGTCTATAGGTAGGAATGTACACTTCTTTAATCCCCTATGATACCTGGAACAATATACATCCTAGAAGGTTTTAAATAGTTGCTGAATATATTGCATTTTAGAATACTACTTTATAGAAATCATGTAGATATACTTGTACATATATATGTATGTGTATTATTATCGAATGATTTGTAGCATTCCTATTGTCTTTTTCAAATAAGACATTTGAAAATTCACTAGAGTATACCTTTCAACAGATAAGATGTGAATGTGAAGTATATGTGAAGTAACCTTCTTTTTTTGGTACCGAGGATCAAACTCGGGTCCTTGCGCTTGCAAGGCAGGTAGCGGAACCACTGAGCTAAATCCCTAGCCCAAAGTCATTTTTTTTTTTTTTTGGTAATGGGGATCAAACTCGGGTTCTTGGGCTTGTGAAGCAGGCGACGGAACCACTGAGCTAAATCCCCAGCCCAATGTGAAGTAACTTTCAAGTGTGTAATCTTCCTTTCTCTGCATTCTTATCCATAGATGGGTTTGCAGCCCCTCAGGACCCTCTGCCAGGGCACATAGACCAGTTTGAAGAGCAGGCTCCCCCGCAGCAGTCCTTTGAGCCAGCAGGGCTATCACAAGGTCAGTGTGGATTTCTGAGAGATTTGCAAATGAGCCAACTTGTGCAGGGTTTACTTTTACAACCACCTTAGGTATTCCTCTAAAGGCTATTCTAAAATTTGTAGTTTCATGGGCCAGGCATTTAGCTCAGTGGTTCCGGCTCCTGCCTCGAAAGCGCAAGGTCCTGAGTTTGATCTCCAGTACCAAAAAAATTAAAAAAAAAAAAAAAAGAATTTGTAGTTTCAAACCATGTACCTTTTCCAAGCATTGTGTAGTTTTTAAAATACATTTTGGAGCTGCTGATAAAAACAAATTGATTCTCACTTCCTTTAACTATCTTTTATTTATAAACTGAACTTATTTTTTCTTTTTATGTAATTTTATTATTTTTTATAATACTCCTGTTTCTAACTTATTTCAGGCTTTACAGTGACTGACACATACAATCAACAGACTCAGTTTCCACCTGTACAACAACTGCAAGATTCTAGTACTCTTGAATCCCAAGCCTTATCCACAAGTTTCCACCAGCAGAACTTACTGCAGGTTTCAAGCTCTGACACAATTAACGTAGTGAGTGTCTTCAGAAGGGATATATATGTACCTATCATCATCCAGCAGGTGTTGTCATACCTTTGGCTGTAATTATTTAAAAATCGTTTATTTACAAAGGCATGCCCACTTCTGGAACCACTAAAGTTAGTACATTCTCTCCCTCTGTTTTCTTTTTTTGTTTGTTTTTGTGGGTACCGGGGATCGAACTTGGGTCCGCTGTACTTGGGAGGCAGGCACTGGAACCGCTGAGCTAAATCCCCAGCCCCTAAAGTTAGCACATTCTCTATAAAAACTTTGGTGTGTATCACACAGGACTTTCTTTCACCTTAAAACATCTTAAGAAGGTCAACACTGATGTGCCCTTGCCTTTTTGGCTGAAAGCTAGGAAGTCAATACAGTGTTGTTCAATAAAGCCTGAAGGATGTTATTTTAGGCACTGAATTTAAATATTTTTGTTTGTGGACTCTTAAAATATGTTAGAGGGAAAATAAAATTAATGCTGGAATATTAAAAATAAGTATGTAGGGCTGGGGATTTAGCTCAGTGGTTCTGCCGCCTGTCTCACAAGCGCAAGGTCCCGAGTTCGATCCTGGGTACCAGAAAAAAATAAGTATGTATGTATGTGTTTAGAGGTACTGTGAAATGAACCCAGGGTCTTCACACTGAGCTACAGATCTCCAGCCCATTTTTTCTTTTGGTATACGGATTGAACTCAGGGCCTTGCGCTTCCGAGGCAGGCGGCGGCACGACTGAGCTAAATCCTCAGCCCTCCAGCCCTTTTTAAAAATATTTTTGAGATAGAGTCTCACTAACTTGCTGAGATTGGGTTTGGACTTGAAAGCCTTCTGCCTCAGGGTGCTGGGATTATGTTCGTGTGTTGCTATGCTCAGCTTTAAAGCAAGTATTTAATCACATAATTAAAAAATTCTCTTACTCAAGTTGGAGACATTTAAGTTTTTTATTTTTTTCTGTTCATGAATTTATTTGTAAATAGTTATGAAAATGATTGACCCATCAGTTGATATCTGTCTTTAAAATCTCTTGGTTGCTTTGCCCAGTGGTAGGCCTCAATGTGTCATAGCACTTTCCATAGCTAGAAACCACATAAATGACAGCAGGTACTGAGTCTGGGCATAGAGAACATGCTGCTTAGTAACTTAATAGGGCCATCTGAGTAAAACTATACCAACCCAGTACAAGTGATACAGCAGAATGGGCATTGTCTAATTTGGTCATGAAAGTCAGGTGAACAAATTAGAAATGGGCCCTTGTTTCCAGCAGTGTATGAGGTAGATTTCCACTCTGCAATATCCCCTTTGACTATCCAGGATCCTGAAGCCTCACTTATCTTTTACTCCATGTGAGTAAGGTATACTTTGCATAGTATGTTTTTTGGAGGGGTTGGAAAGCATTGACCAGGCTATGTTTAGTGCTGCAGTGGTACTATGGGTTGTTATCCTTGTGTTGGAGAGAGGGTTAGTATAACTGCTCTTTGTATGTGGTGCTGTTTCAGAGGGCAGAGGGTGGCTTTTCTTTTTCCATCTGTGGCTTTTGTGACAAGAGAGGAGACATAATCTTTTCAGAAGGTAGGATTTTTATTCACTGCCAGTGTGTTAGCTTTCTGTTGCTATGAGAAAATACCTGAGAAAACCAATTTAAGATTTATCGTGGCTCATCATTTCAGTCTTTGGTCGGTTAGATCCATTGCATTTGGGCCTGTGCAGAGGCAGAACATCATGATGGGGAGCATATGTAGAGCAAAGCTGCTCCCCTCATGGTGGCTAGGAAGCAGAGAAAGAGAGACTGGGTTCCAATGTATCCTTCAAGGGCAGCCACCTCACTTCCTTCCACTTGGCCCTACCTCCTAAAGGTTCCACCACTGCCTTGCAATAAATAGCTCCAGGCAACAAAGGCTAGCAACCAAGCTGTTAGCAAATGGGCCTTTGGAGAAGATTTAAGATCCAAACTATACCAGCTAGTAAGAGTAAAGACAAAGAGTAACCTCTGATTAAGATATATTAGAGAATCAACTTTATGGTCAGATTCTATATTACTGTAGGTTAGTAGAAAATAAGTATCTGTTTAATTGTACATCTATGATTTTTACTATTGCTATGGCCCAAATGATCACAATGGACAGTTTGCGATTTTGCCTCTTTAACTCCACATTTTATGAGTGTTTGTGTCCTCAGTTCCTAGTTGTTGTTTTATGTTTCTTCATGGATACTCATGTACTCTGCTTTATACTTCTACTCATTCTAGACAACTCATTTGATTCAGGAATCGTCCCAAGAGGAGCTGGACCTGCAGACACAACGTCCCCAGTTCTTAGAGGATGGTGAAGACCAGAGCAGGCGCTCTCACAGGTAACCACCCAGACCAGCCTCCTGACACTTGAGTGCTATACTGCCCAAGGGCTTGTGACTTTTAAACTCTGTGAAGTAGGGTTCATTATCATCCCGGCTTTATTAAGGATCAGTATTTAACTTGGTATAGTTTATACTGCTAATAAACATGAGGGCCTGATTTTGGATGCGGCAGTCTTTCTTTATCCTTACATTCTGTAGTAACTTTCTACCACCACTTTAAGCCATTATTATCATGTTGTTAGAAAGAAATTTAGATAGCACCTTTCTGTCCAAGATTCTTTGTGTGCCACAGGACAGGATTCCTAAGGTAGTCTGTAGCTATGTATGCTGAGCAGTGTGTATTGAGCACTGCTATGCACTATTTGCATGGTACACACTTGCAGGGGAGCAGGGTCTGCCCAGCTCAGACACTGTCAGATGCTCACAGTGAAAAATACAGTACTTATAAAATGGAAGATAAAGATATATGTCATGAAAACTAAAGTATTATCTTTTATAGAGATTGCCTTAGCTTTATAATATTTTAATAATTATATTTATAAAAATTTTAAACTGTGCTTTTTTCCAGAACCAATTAACAAGAAATTAGGTCTGATTCCTTTATAATCCCTCTAAAAGCTGATAAATTGCCTGATTCATGGGAATGGTTTTAAGATTTTTGAAAAAATATGTTTTGCTAGTATTAATGAACACATAACTCTTGAAAGGCCAAGTAATTACTTTGTTACTTTTGCACAGAATTTGTTTCTCAAACACAGTCTTAAGTTCCTTGACCCAGTATTTTGTGCGTGTAATTCTTGAAGGGCAATGTCCCAAGAGCTCAATGAATTTACAAGTTTAAAATGTAACAGAGCAATGCTTTTTATTTTGGGGGTCTGAGGGTTCTAAGAGTGCATGCATGGTGTGATTGAAAATTACAGTACAGGGCCGGGGATTTAGCTCAGTGGTTTCGCCGCCTGCTGCGCAAGCGCAAGGACCCGAGTTCAATCCCCGGTACCAAAAAAAAGAAAAAGAAAAAAAAAAAGAAAATTACAGTACATATTTAAGTCGACTATTAGACACATTGATAATTAATCCCCCTCAGAACACTCCCGTATGTTTTGAACACATTTATCTCACTGTTCTGGCCAGTTTCTGAAGCAGTTCTGTAAATCGTCTTTTGTGAGTGTCCTTAGTTGCACTGTCATGTCTGTCTTGATGTTCTGAATCAATTCAAAATGTTTACCATTCATTGTCATTTTGACTTTGGGAAGAGCCAGAGGTCACATGGTGCCAGATCCAGTGAATAAGGTGGATGAGGACATACCATAGTGATTTTCTGTTGGATGGCATTTGGTAACAATATATACTATATTTTTAATCACATTTCATAAAAACATTCATGAAAGAAGACTTCTGGAACTGCTTCAGAAAGTGGCCAGAATAAGGGAATACGTCTATTGGAAGTAAGGAAGAGCATTTTGAGGAGAATCAATGGCAATGTGTTTAAATTTAAATATTCAGTATATATTTTGATCATACTACATACAAATGGCCTCAGGGTTTCTGTGACTCCTGATATTTTATTTGCACTTTGATTTATTACAACATAATTTGTTTGCTAATGTCTGATTTGGGATTTCGCATTACTGTTTTCTGGTACCATTAATCTAATATTTCCTTATGATTTCATCATGGAATCTGCTTAGGCCTTCCTGTACTTAGAGCCTCACATCATTTATCCATTCATTTATGCAGCCTTCAAGGCCTGTTAGGTACAGGCATTAGAGCCATCTTAGTGAGCTAAGATGGAGTTTACATTCTAGTAGAGAAGAAAACAAGCAAGGTGAATAAGGAAACCTCACTGAAGGTGAAGTGATACTGTGGGCCATTGTGCTGAGTACCACATGGCGGATGTCTGAAGGGCAGTTGTTGCTTTTGCAAGTAGTAATTGTGAACTCTGAACACGTTTAGCAGATGGAGCCTTATAAGGATCCACTACAAGCCAAGTTGTGGGAGAGATAGAGGATTTAAAAGGACTGTCGGGATTTTGACCTGAGCATTGACAAGGCAGAGATCACTGTCACGTGGTCAGGGCAGATTTTGTTAGGTTTAAGACCAAAATTTAGTATTTGTCCTTAAGATTGATGTTCAAGAAGAACAGCGTGTGTTCAGTTTTTTCATCAGACTGGAAGTAAAGGAAGGGGTCCAGACTAGAAGTCCATACTTGGGAGTTAGCAGTATAAAGACTAGTATTTAAGCTGAGGGGTGCACATGCAAAGCAGAGAAGTGGCTCAAAGATTGTACCCTGACCCTTCCACGAATGGGTGCACAAAGAGAGGGAGAACGAGCCATGGTGCCAGAGTGGACCGGCCATGAGAGAGAAGGAGCTCTGAAGGGAGTATTTGCACACATTTTTTTATTTGCTTGTTTTTTGGGGAAAGGATATATTCTTTCACTGGATTCTCAGAAACGTAGGATCCTCCCTACCCCTTAAGGAACACAACCCAAGTACAGTAAACATAAGAGAGCAGTGAAGCTTCCAAACTTCAGATGAGCCATGTCCAAGGCTGTGACCTGTAGGAATACAGCAGGTCCCAGTCTCTCTGCCTCATCTCATTGGAGGAATTCATTATCTCAGAGTTGTAACAAAGATGAACTGAAATCCACTACTTCATGTGATACTTGTCTTCTAGTGATACTGCTGTAAGTGCTAGCTAACCTTTGTAATTTAGTAGTTATTGGACATGTTGGAAAAATTATTCCATACTTTATAAAGAAGGTGGGTGTATTCTGTGAAGAGAGGGCAGATGGCCCTTCTGTAGACAGAGAAGGATCTGTCCTGGGTAAGCAACAGTTGGGTCTTGAAGTAGTCATAAGCCCAGGGGTGAGGTGGAAGGTAGGCTGGGGTGATGGTGCAGACCGTGCTGGGTAGACTGCTCTGGAAGGGAGGTTGTTTCTCCACAGTGTGGCTAAGTCCTTTCGCTGGAGTAGTTGGTTTTAATTAGCAGAGGTGACTTTTGAAAATCTTTGTATATTTCAAGTAGTATAGTAGTTTTTAGTCCTATGAAGAGATTTTTATTACTGTTCACCACAGACCAGTCCATCCGTACTTTATATGCAGATACACTTTTCTGATGCTTGCTCTCTGTTTTCAGTAGACAGCCTCACCAAACTGCAGTTGAGATTACAGCAAAATGTTCATGTGTTTCCATTTCCTTAGCTCTTAGTTTAGTGTGGACTGCAGAGGACTCCTAGCTGGTTATGCAGGCTTTAATTCACTTGAGAATGGATCAAAGAATACTTGTAATGTGTAAACAGGGATGCTGAAACGTATGATTATTTTAATCATTAAACTAATTTTAACCTAATTCAGTAACAATCTAGGGCATTGGTGGCGAACCATGGCATGCATGCTGCCGTGGGCTGTTTGTATCATTGAAAGCTCTAAAAGGTTCACCATAGCTGACCTAGGGATAAATAATTCTGCATGTTTATATAGTATTCAAAATAACTCTAGTGTAATTTCTTCTGTTAAAAGTTTTAAACAAAAAGGTATGGATTGGCATTTCTGAATGTTCAAATGATTCTGACCCTGAACCGTTGGAAGGTTGTACAGTGTCAGTGACTTAGTAAAAAATAGCACATAATAAATTTTCTTCCTGTATGTTTAGATAAAGTTTCTAATTAATCAAATATTTTGGCACTGAGGAGTTTTAACAGGATGCCACAGTCTGGAAATTAAAGCAGAACTTGATCTAGCAAATTGTCATTGCCATCATTTTGTATTGTGTATTATTATTACCTCCACTGTGGGCCACACACCCAGTTTCTGCAGGAGTTGTGTTCACTTGGTCGGTGATTGTCACCAAAATTGGTTTGCTTTCCTCCGTTCTCAGATGTTGTGTTGGTAATTGTGCTCTGAAGGAGCAAGGCCTGAGCTGTGCGTGTTTGGTTTGCAGGTGTGATTATTGCAACAAAGGCTTCAAGAAGTCCAGCCACTTGAAGCAGCACGTGCGATCGCACACAGGGGAAAAGCCCTATAAGTGCAAGCTCTGTGGGCGTGGATTCGTCTCTTCCGGTGTCCTCAAGTCCCATGAGAAGACGCACACAGGTCATTATCCGCCTCCCACATGGAGATTGTGTGTGTTTTATTTTTAATATAATGGCTTAAAGAGATATCACTTTCAGAATTCTGCAACCACTACCACTATGTCATATTAGAACATTTTACCACTCCTGAAAGAAACTCAACCCATTAGCAGTCACTCTCCCTTTCCTCTCAGTGTCCCCAGTCTTAGGCAACCCTTGATCTACCTGTCTTTATACATTTGTCTAAGACAATTCATATAAATGGACTCACATACTATGTCAGTGGTGGTGAACCACTACTCATGCGTGCTGCAGTGGGCTATTTGTATCATTGAAAGCTCTGAAAGATTTGCTATCAATGTACTGTGCGGTCTTTTGTGATTGGCTTCTTTTACTTAGCAAGTTTTACCTATATTGTGGCGTGTGTCAGTACTGCATTTATTTTATTTATTTATTTATTTAATTTTTTTTTGAGACAGGGTCTCACTATGTAGTTCAGGCTGGCCTTGAACCCTTGGTGATCCTCCTGCCTCAGCCTGGCAAGTGCTGGGATTACAGATCGTATGCCACCATGCCCAGCTACTGCATTTATTTTTCTTGGTATAATACTCTATTATATGGATATACCAAATTTTATTTACCTATTCATCAGTTAGACATTTGGGTTATTTCCGTATTTTTGCTATTATTAATGATCTCTCTGTGAACCTTTGTATATAAGTTTCTATATGGTCATGTCTTCATTTCTTTACTGAGGAATGAAATTGCTAGATTAAATGATAACTATTTTTATTTTAAACTTTCTATTAAGCAAATTTTAAACATATACAAAAGTAGATACATAATATACCACAATGTATCCATCATCCAGTGTCAACATTCATTATTCAGACCATCTTGTTAATGATAACTATTTTTAAACTTTTGAGTTTGTTGAACTATTTTCCAAAGTGACAGCACCATTTTACAGGTCCATGAACAAATGTATGAGTGTTCTTATTTCTCCACATCCCTTCTAGTGCTTGTTATTTTCTTTATTATGCCCATCCTCATAACTCATTGTGATTTTGGTTTATATATCTCCAGTGGCTCATAATGCTGAACATCTTTTCGTGTGCGTACTGAGAAATGTCTAATTCTATGGTCATTTTAAATTAGATTGTCTTATTATTGAGTTGTAAGAGTTTTTTTAAGATATTCTGGGTATCAGACCTTTATTAGATCTATGATTTGCAATGATACATTTTTAATGTATTATTTATGCATTTAGCATAGTCGGTATGCTTATAAACAAAAATATCTATGATTAATATTAATATATATTCTGTGTAAGGCTTTATTTGAATATGAAGGTGCAAGCAAGGCCAGGCGTGGTGGCTCGTGCCTGTAATCCCATCTCCTCGGGTCACTGGCAAATCTAGCCCAGGCAATTTAGCAAAGCACTGTTTCAAAATAAAATTAAAAGGGCTGGATATGTAGCTCAGTAGTAGAGTGCTTGCCTAACATGCATGATGCCCTGGTTTTAGTCCCTAGTGTTGTATACACAAAAAAGAAAAAGAAACAATAAACCAGAAACTTATAAGCAAACCAAAGAAGGAAAAATCTTATGCATATAAAAGAAGGAAAGACCTTACAGGCTTATTCATAGATTGGTGGCTGGGGAGTGGTTTTAAGGATTCTTGGAAAAGTTGGATGAAAGCAGATTTGGGGTGGTCAGAGGCACTGCTGTGGGGGCTGAGAGAAGCTGAGGGAGGAAAACTGGGATGAGGTAAACACCTTCGTGGCTAGGTGCTTTTCAGGAGGCACTGGTGCAGAGGAATGGGGACTTCAGGGTTGGACTTCATAGGAATGAAACCATACAGAGGCTTTACACACCCTCTCTAGGACTGACCTGAGTCATGTACTATGACAGTGGTGCAAAGATAAATTTCAAAAAACATTTCTGGGGTTGAATCCACAAATGTGTTGCCAGTTTTAGATGTAAATGAGGACAGAGAAGACTTGGTTTGAGGAACATCTTCTCAGAAGTTATTAATTTCAGTAAAAACCAGTAACATAGGCCCTGTTCCATGTCTTTTAAACAATCTGATTCCTAAAGATCAGAAACCACAGTGAAATAAATTGTTTGTGGTTTATTGAATATATCTTTGCTTTGAAGTGCTTACAATTTTAAGGTAATAAAATATTGTTTTCCTTACACCCTCAATGCCTACCTTATCACAGGAGTGAAGGCTTTCAGCTGCAGTGTCTGTAATGCCTCGTTCACAACCAATGGCAGCCTCACCAGGCACATGGCCACACACATGAGCATGAAGCCTTACAAGTGTCCGTTCTGCGAAGAGGGCTTCCGCACTGCGGTTCACTGCAAAAAGCACATGAAGAGACACCAGGCAGTCCCATCTGTTGCATCAGCAACTGAAGAAACAGAGGGAGGAGGTATTTTCCCTTTGTTCATTCAGAGTCTATTAACCAAATGCAAATGTAGTAATTAATGAATGTACAAAGCACCTTGAATATTTGAACCTGGTTATACACAGCTTAAGTTTAGTAGTACCCTGAATTTTTAAAAACAAACTTACTTTCTAGATATGAAAGCCTACATCTTTTTTGAAAAACAATTCAGTGGCACAATGAAGGAAATATTTTTCTTATCTTTACCAGTCGGGGTAGACAGAGTTAGCACCCACTCAAACATTGTGTTCTTCCAGCCACATTCGCATGTACATGTAGGTAGAGTTTAACTTTCTAACAAATATTATATCATGCTACACATGGATTGCTGTTGTAATCCACTTAATCTCCTCTCCCATGAAGTTTATTACATACATATTTGATCTAGTAAGCACAGGCCTTCAATAGTTCAGGTGACTGCATGGAATTTTATTGTATTTTATTATATAACCCACTATAGATAGATGTGCAGCTAATAATATCTGGGCTCTCCCAAATCAGCATTTAATTGATGCTAGGTGGTGCTTTACAGTTTGAGGGATTTTCATTTTGTATAAGGAATGATCAAAAATACAGTGAATGTTTAAATAAAAAATTTATTATAATAAGAGATACATTGCTGCTAATCTCCCTGAACCTCTTTCCCTTCAAACACACTTATCCCATTGTTCTTGCCACTTTCTGAAGTATTCTAGAAGTCCTTTTTCATAAGTGTGTTTAGTTGCGCTGTTGTGGCTGCTTCAGTGTCCTGAATCCATTAAAAACATTTATCTTTCATGATCCTTTTTGACTGGGGAAAAACCATGGGTTGAAAGGTGCCAGATCCACTAAGTAAGGTGGATGAGGACACACTATAATGTTTTTATTTGACAGAAATTGCTGCACCAGAAATGATATGTGGTATGGAATATTGTCATGATGGTTGGGGGGGGGGAACTGTTTGCCCAGTCCTCAGGCCGTTTTCTGTGCTAAGAATATGCACATTTCCTATGTTCGCCTGTGAAGTCAGTACACAAGGTGTCAGTGTTTAATCAGCAGTAGTTTTGAACACCTGTGCCTTATGCAGGTGTGCTTCTTGCCCCTGCTGTGGCTAGTGCTGTCCTCCCACAGTGGTACATGGTGATTGTTGAATGTTACCTTAATGACTGTGTGGAGGTCTTTTGATTAAGTGTTCTCAGAGATCAGATCTACTGAGGATTCTTGGCATTCATTCCCCAGTTGTTTATTCCTCCATCTGCTTGCAGTCATTTGACCTTCAGGTCACAATCAGACCATTAGGGTCCCTAATATGTTGTACTGAAATGAGAGCTGTGCAGCTCTTATATTTTGAGAAATTTGTCTACCTTGCCTTAAAAACCTCCTTCCCATCTCTCTGACTTCTATATTGCAGAACACCTAACCTCTTTAGCAGATATTCTGAATATCAGTTTCTGACCTTTAGTACCTTGTTCATACCTTTCAGTCTGATAGTACTTAGTAGAGCCCTTATTTCCAGCTGTTAATTGTCCTGAGATTTAATAAAGTATAAAAAGCACGTAAGTTTTCCTTCAAATGAATTAAAGAATAAAGGACATCAAAGCACTATTTTTGACTTCTATAGTCTGGATAGTGTTAACTAATTGGCCAGTACCAATAATCTCTATTAAATTACATATTCTTTCTCAGCAATTAATAAAGCTTGTAATACCATTAACTGAGTGCTGTTAGGATTGACTAATGAGGTTCTGTGAAGCCCTCCTCCTATGTATAAACACCTTGATATCTTGTTTTCCTCTTTTGGATCTCTCCTGGCCATAGGAGAGTTACCTGTTGTTCAGTTTCACTCACACCACACCAGGAGTCTTGTGATAGTCTCATTTCCTGTGTCAGGTGATTTTGCCTGCTCTGTGCCTCCTGTTCTGTTTCATTTTCCTCATTTCCATTTTCCTTGGTTCTTTCCATGGCTAATGCTGTGTTCTTGGTTACTTAAAAACTTTTAATGCAGTTATCTCCGTATTTCATTGTTGGTGGGGGCCACTACCTATAACCTTCCCTGAGTCTTTCCAAATACAGAATTTTAGTTCTCTGTATTATCCTTTTTCTGCAGCTTCTGCCTAGTGAATATTGAATCTCGTGGTTCTGTCCTCTGTGACCTATTCTCCTCCATTCCTACTCCTCTCTCCCTTCCTCTTTCTCATCTTTTTTCCCATTATGTTGTAAGTCAGGTGACCCAGTTGGTCTTTACCTCACTCATTTGGGGTTAGCACTGTCCACTTTGCTGTTTCAAGTTTCTGTTGAATCCGAGTGTTTCTGTTCTTTGTTACAGTCATGACCTCCCTGCTTTAGCCACATACTTTTCTTCCCCTGTTATATTTTAATAGCAATTTGTTCTTATTTTAAATCAACTGCAATATATCATTAAATTTCACTGGGAGAATACTTAAACATACACATTTCTAAGCTTTATTTTTCTTTTTGCAGTAAGTGTTTTTAATTGGAGGCTCTTTGCTAATTTATCATTTTGGTTTCCCATTTTTGGCCTTCTGATTTGCTAGCAATAAAGTCTGTGTGTGAATACTGTGGGTTGTGTGGACACTGGAAGTTTCCCAGCCTCTTCTAGCTTCGCAGCAGGGGTAGAAGATGATCAGTCCCAGCATCTTTTGGTGTTGCAGGCCCAACCTAAAGGCTCATCCTTCATGTACCCTTTTCCTTTATGATCTTGGCGTAGTTCTCTCAGGAGAACAGTGGTGGGAAAAGCAACTTAAATGTTGCTAGTTGACTTAGTAACTTTAATTTTACATGCTTAATTTTATTACTAGTTTTGTTGAAACTTGAGCTTTTACAAGGATTTTGATCCCTCTTTGTGTGTTTTGGAGATTTTTTTTTTTAGTACCGGGGATCGAACTCTGGTCCTTGCGCTTGCAAGGCAGACGGCATAACCACTGAGCTAAATCCCTGGCTTTCCTGTGCTTTGAATAGATGCATGTATGGAGGAAGAGGAAGAAAGCTCTGACAGAAATGCATCAAGAAAGTCCCGTCCTGAGGTGATCACCTTCACAGAGGAGGAGACGGCCCAGCTAGCCAAAATTCGTCCTCAGGAGAGTGCTACGGTGTCTGAGAAGGTCCTGGTGCAATCAGCTGCAGAAAAGGACCGCATTAGTGAAATGAAGGATAAGCAGGCAGAGCTGGAGTCCGAACCTAAGCATGCCAATTGCTGCACCTACTGCCCCAAAAGCTTCAAGAAGCCCAGCGATCTGGTGAGGTGAGGCCTACTGCCAGGCTGTGCAAGTGGCTCTGAGAAGTTCAAAAAGGCATGCTTCCCATGCCTTTGACACTCTTTAGAGCAGTAAGGGAAGTTAATTTCTCATCTGATAGTGCATAAGCAGCAGGGATCACTTTCTGGAGCAGGAGGAGGTTTTAAGCCTGTGTTAGCTCTACAGTGACCTCCTCAGAATAGAACCTGTTGATTGCTTGAGCATATATCTGGGTAATTGTGGTAGTAAAAAAATTTGTTTGTTAAGAAACAGTGTGCTAGGCTTTGTAGACATTTGGAAGAGCAGCAGATATCTTCCTCCTCTAAGGGCTGTTAGTCTATGTGAGGAATACACAAGTTAGAGACCCAAAGAAGTATATCATAAAGCAGACAGCATTGACTAATTAGCAAGATAGAGGATAGCAGAAGGATAAGGAATCTGGAATCCAGGACACGGGGAAAGGATAGAAGGAGCTCCAGATCTGTTCAGACTAAGGAAACAGGGTCTATGCCCAAATGTTTTCTGTTGCATGGGTACCCCAAAGTTCTGTTGCCAAACCTACCCATGGGCTTCAAATTCTCATGCTAGATGTACAAGGATACTGCAGAGGTTGTGTCATAGCACCTGTGTGGGTCACTCAGCTTACTGAAGGGCCTGTGGGGTCATGCACATCTGTGTCCCTCAGAGACCTTCTCATGCCTGTTTTAGACCAGCAAACAAGAAGGGGAAATCCTATCTTGTTCGTGTAGCATGCTCTTTTTGGATTCTAAGTGTGATTGCTTAGCTTTGTATATGTCTTTTGGAATTTTGTATTTCTTCTTCTGTAAACTAGCTCTACTTTGCCCATTTGTCTACTCTGAAGTGGTCTTTTTTGCTATTTTTTTAAAACTTTGAGTTTTAAGAAAATTAGCCTTCTTTGCATTTGTCTTGCAAATGTTTTTATTGTTAGATTTATGATATTCGATATATAGAGTGAAGCAGATAATTTTTATTTGGCTGAATTTATTAAGAGTATAGTAACATAATTCCTACATGATTATAAATTGCAAATTATGAAGGTATTTATAACTGTATATAATTAGAAAGAAAGCCACTTAATTAACAAATCCTTTTTGGATAGGCATGTTCGAATCCATACTGGAGAAAAGCCATATAAATGTGATGAATGTGGAAAGAGTTTTACTGTGAAATCTACCCTTGATTGCCATGTGAAGACCCACACAGGTAAGGAACAAACATTAACAGGTTTGATGGATGCCTTACAATATTAAGATTGTTTATTTCTCTATATTTTAAGCACATAAGTACTTTCAAAATTATAGAAACCTTAAAAATCAAGAACTATGAAAAAAGTGGATATAAAAGATTTTTTGTTCCTTTCATAAGGTTAATGGTAGATCCCTAAGAAAAAGTGATTAGATCTTAAAAGTTGAGTTATAAATTGTTTTGTATTCTTGCTCAGGCTTAACTCTCTGTGTGTAAAATATTACATGCTAGTCTCATTCAGTCTAAAGAAGTTCAGTTTGTAGGCTTTATAAAAACTAGAGACTTGGTAGGTCTGATAACAGCTATCAGGTCATAATACTTTTTATATAGGGGAAAAAATCTTAGGAAGGCAAAGATTAATGTTAAGTTTTCATGGCCTTTTTTTTTTTTTCAATCTTCATCTGATTCAAGGACCTGAAGGTCCACTGCCTTTGCTTCTTGAATTCTATGTATTGCATCCTTGAGTTAGAAGGCAGCTGTTGTCCTCTTGCTGAGTGTGGATTCTGTCCTCCATGTGTGAACTTGGTGACATCAGGCCATTCTGTTCTCTGAGCCACAGGTTCCTCATGTGTGAGTGGAGCTAATGATAGTACTTCCTTTGTTAGAGATTTAGATGCATTAAGACATGTGAATAGCTTAGAAAAACATTTGGCATGTAATAAACTCATTATAGTAGTCATTGTCATTATGATTCCAGGGTTGTGATGATCAAGATTACCTATATTCTTAATTTTAAATTTTGAGCAAAATTAAACAAATGAATACAATTGGAATTTCACACATTTATGTTGAGTCTTGGGATTATTTTTGATGTGCTACTTTTTGGAGCAAAAAAATAGATATGTGAATCATTTATTAAGCTTCTTAGATGTACAGTTTTTCTGTCTCATGAGGTTCCTTCCTATATCTGTCTCTTGGGTCACACTCTGAACTTGCTGAGGCCAAGAAGGGGCCACCTGTGTCCATCTTGGCACTCCAGGCTAGCATGTTTTGCGTGTGCATTGAGTGCCTAGCAATGCTCACAGTGATGTGGCACCATTGCTTGGCACACCGTGCTTGGCTTGGGAGTTCAACACAATCTGTGTGGGTAAGGAGTAGAGAGAAGTCTCTGTGAAAATACTTTCTATGCCTCTTTCTCTATTTGAAGTGGAAACTCATGAAGACAGGTGGCTTAGGATCTAGTCTTCTGTGCTCCTTGCCTGCACTGTTGCTGATATAAACAGCACTTGTTTTCTGAGCAATAGAGGGAGAAAGGCAGAAAGTTTTTTTACCCCAAGTTCTTCTGGGGCAGAGCTGGTGCTGATGATGCTTGTACCTTGGTGGCTTCTGTTTTATAGGTAATGATGTGAAGATCCAGAAAGGAAAAAGTAGGTATGTGACATTAAACACATGACCCTGTGCCCCCAGTTTGTATTTTTCCTGTGCACATTCTCCAGTTATGATGCTTCCTGCACTGGCATTCTGGTTGTCCCTGTTTGGCAGAATAGAAAATAAAGAGATACTGAGACACCAGGGATGTGGCCTTTGTAAAATCAAAGAAAAGTGAGAGTAGTACAGACCTAAGTCCAGCTACTTACTGCCTTCCAGTAAATGTAAATCAAATACTCCAGTCAAGTTTCAACACATAATGCAGTGTGGTTTCAGGATACTAAACCTTGGAGTGTTACAAAAGTACCAAATATAAATTGTAAACAGTATACTGATAAGGTTCTACTATTGTCTGTGACATCCTTACCATGTTATGAGTGAAAGGCTTTCTTCAAAGCACTTCGGTCTACAGATTCAGCACACTTCATGCATCCCAGTGAATGAGGGTGTCCATATGTGTGAATGGTCATCAGCCCTCACTGATTCTTGGCTGGGCTTTCTACAGGTCAGAAGCTGTTCAGTTGTCATGTCTGCAGCAATGCCTTTTCTACAAAAGGAAGTCTGAAGGTCCACATGCGCTTGCACACAGGAGCAAAGCCTTTCAAATGCCCACACTGTGAGCTACGCTTTCGTACATCTGGGCGAAGGAAGACTCACATGCAATTTCATTACAAACCAGACCTGAAGAAAGCCAGAAAACCCGTGACTCGAAGCTCATCAGAGGGACTGCAGTCTGTAAACCTTCTCAACTCTTCCTCCAGTGACCCTAATGTGTTTATCATGAACAATTCTGTCCTAACAGGACAATTTGATCAAAATTTGCAAGGACTGGTGGGCCAGGCTATTCTTCCTGCCTCAGTGTCAGGTAAGTGCTAAGTTGGAGAATAGCTCAGTCCTTGCACTGACATACGTCCCTCTCATCTGTTCCTGGAGCAGAAGAAATGTCACACTCAGCAGGAAGAGGTCTCCTTCCCTTGAGCCTTTCACTTATAAGGAATAGGAAAATTGAACTTTTATCTTTCACACAATTATCTTTCCACTCCCTTTTTTCTCTGTCACATCTGCTTTTGAAGTGTATAGCACTTTGGTTAGTTTCCTTTTTTTTTTGGCAGTACTGGGGAATGGATCCAAGATCTTTGCTGTAATCTACATTCCCAGCCTTTTAAAATTTATTTTGAGACAGAGTCTTGAGACAAGGCTGTGCTTGAACTTGTGATCATCCTGCCTCAGCCTTCCAGAGTATAGAAATACAGGCATTGCCACCACTAGATTTTGTTTTTAATGGATTTTAGTTTGCTTCTTTCTCAGTTGGCATTCTTACAATTTAGTAGTGAAATGTATAACTTACACATATTTATTAACATTGTTTTTATTTTTTATTTATTTTTAAAAATTTTATTATTATTTTTTTGGTACCAGGGATCAAACTCAGGTCCTTGTGCTTACACAGCAGGCGGCGAAACCACTGAGCTAAATCCCCGGCCCTATTAACATTGTTTTTAATGTTGCAGTTATCTGGTTGTCATGGGGGCATATGATACACAAAAAATATTAAATTTTAGCCGTTTGGGTCTATGTAGCAATTCTTTTTTTTTTTTAAAATAAATTTTATTGGTACATTTTAGGTATACAGTACAATGACGTTCATCATTGGAGATTTCTATGTAGCAATTTTTTTGTTGTTGTTGTTTTTTTTTGGTACTGGGGATTGAACTCAGGACCTTGTGCCTGCAAGGCAGGCAGCGGAACCACTGAGCTAAATCCCTGGCCCTGTAGCAATTCTTAATAGCCAGTAGATACCCTGCGGGCCCCTCTGTCTATGACTTAAACTTATAGAACAGTTAAAGTTGGGCTACTCCTGCTTAATGGTTGCTGTTGTTTTAAACCTTGGGCTAACTAATAGATTCATTTTTCTCATATATTTAAAATGGGTGACATTTATTTCCTGGGGTTTGTTTGTGATAATTAAATTAGATAATGTATGTGTGTCATATAAATATTAACATCTTAATTAGATCATATAAATGTAATATATAAAACTTGGGTATTTAAAAGTCTCCGTGCAAAAAATGAATTCTTTTAGATTAAAAAGCATTTATGATATTCAGTCTTTCCCTTTCTCTCTGGCCAGCTGGTGGTGACTTGACAGTGTCTTTGACAGATGGGAGCTTGGCCACCCTGGATGGCATCCAGTTACAGTTGGCTGCAAATTTGGTTGGACCAAATGTTCAGATTTCTGGAATTGATGCCTCCAGCATCAATAACATCACATTGCAGGTATGATAACTGCCACGGTTTTCTGTGCTTTAAGATTGTCTGAATTACATGGAAGCACAGAATTTTCATTGCAGTATCTGCATTGCTTTTCAGATTGATCCAAGCATTTTGCAGCAAACGCTTCAGCAGGGCAACCTTCTTACTCAACCACTCCCAGGGGAGTCTGGTGTGGCCCCACAGAACACTGGACAGACATCCGACAGCACAGTCCCAGCCAGTGTCGTCATTCAGCCCATCTCAGGCCTTTCTTTGCAGCCCACAGTGACATCTGCTAATCTAACCATTGGCCCGCTATCTGAGCAGGATTCTGTGCTGACCACCAGCAGCAGCGGTAAGGGCTGTTCACTTGTTTATTTCATCAGCTGGAATTTATAATCACACATTTGGTCTTAGGATACTAATGATATCATTTTTTCCCTCTTGGTGAAGCTCACTAAATAAAATCAGATGTCCTAAGGATAAAATAAACTGATTCATCAGTGACGTTTACTCAGTATATGAGTTTAGATGAGTATACTCATATGGTTACCATGTAATGACTTTTTGTTTCCTTTTTTTTTCACCATCATGCTGGATATTAAAATCAGGGCTTTGTACATGCTAGGCAAGACTTGTTTTTGTAGATGAAGTAATTAGAGGTGACTGACGTTTTATTTTGATTTACCTTTTTGAAATAACAATTTAAGATACTTTAAAACAAGAAAAAAATGTATTACTTTGGAGCTCAACTTTGTTTTGCTTTGTGCTGATAAGCAGGGACCCAGGACCTCACTCAAGTGATGACTTCACAAGGCCTCGTGTCCACCTCCACAGGCCCACATGAGATCACCCTGACCATTAACAACTCGAGTCTCAGCCAGGTTCTAGCCCAAGCTGCTGGCCCCACTTCTGCGTCATCCTCGGGGTCTCCACAGGAGATTACACTGACTATCTCTGGTTAGTAAGTTGACATTGTAAACATGCTTTTACCTATCATTCACGTCTGTCAGACTGTGTTTCCTTCCCCCTACACTCAGCTTTGCATAAAGCCAGTGCTCAATAAATATTTGTAATTTATGTGATAAATTCAAGATTACTAAAATCTAATACCAGAAATGAAAAACTAGTTTGTCTTGTCACTTCCAGTTTAAATTGATTATGTAACTAATTAATTCATTAATAAATTTTTAGAGAGTCAGTTTTGCCATGTATTTTTCATGTTTTTACTTAGCAAAGAGCAAGACAAGATAGCTTTGTGATTATTGCTGTCCTCTGTAAACTGAGGGAAATTCACTGGTATGAACCTTGTCAACAAGGACATTGTAAAGAACGATGGTGTTTGCCCATTCTCACGTCTTCAGAATTCCACTCAGATTATGCAGAAAAAATTAAAATATGATAGAACATTGAAAAGTAGATAAATAGGCAGAAAATACCATTAGCGAGTAAGGCTCACTTTAAATTGGCAAGTCCTTCCACATGTTAGTCACCAAGCTAATGTACTCCCCTTCTTCTTGTGTGTGCTTCCCTCTGTCCTTTGTATCATTCATTCTCAGAAGCATGCTCTGGCCTAAGTTAGCTTTGGACGTATTTGCCTGGTGTGCTTTGCCCATATGATTCTCAGCTCTGAGCTCTTCATATTAACTAAGAATCATTTTAAAAAATTTAAGAATTAATTCTTATAGCCCTTACTATGTGCCAGATATTATTCTAGTAGCTTTTACAGATATTAACTTATTTGTATATATTATATATAATGTACATTAATTAGTATATCTTAACTCATTAAGCCTCATAATCACCTTATGAGGTTTTATTTTAAATATAAATGTTTTACTGGAAATCAAAATAACTTTTGTGGAGATATGTGTGGAGATCTGGTGTCTCCCTGAACAACTGTAAAATCATAAGAGACAAAGTACAGTACCAGGCTGACTCAACCTTGAGACCACCCCAAGATTGTTCTTTTGTTTTAGTGAGATTTCTACAAAATTAGCAATGAAATTGAAAAAAAAATTTATATAGAAGAAAAACGAAAGATTTGCTTTTTGGGAGGATGTCTTTATTCCTTTTAATATATGAAAAATTTGAGGAACTATTTTTAGACAGAGCTTTCCTTTTGAATGCTATGCCATGATTGCTAGATGCTATTGGATGATAAAAATTGATGTTGAATTCTCCTTAACTCAGTAACCATCCTTCTTTAATTATATACGTGTCTGAATTTTAATGTTGGGAATACAGAAGGGCTATTTTAGGAAAGCTATTCTATTGATCAAATTAACTTTCTTTGAATATAACCTAAGTATAGCAGACATTGTGCTAGGTCCTATCAAAAATGTATTTGTGAACTATGCTTTTGTTTCCCTTTTGTTTTCCTATTCTTGGCCATTTTCTTGTTATTGCTTATGGATATATTTTAAAATGTAGGGTCATATAACTAGAGCTTTAAAAAATTTGACTTAAAATGTCTGTCCTAGGAGAAAACTGCAGATCAGTTATTGAGGCAAAGTTTGGCTAAACTTTGGGCTCAGAATTTCTTCTTGTCACCCTTCTCAGTGTTGGATAATAAGAACTGGCTGCAGACACTCTTATGTCAACATTTCTGTATCTTATTCTGAAAAGGTGTAGAAAAACACAATACTTGGTGGTCACCTCTTGCAAACATCTAGCTATATAGTGTGAATTTTCAACTAGTTTGTAGGAAGTTCCTTCTGATTTTAATTCATAGAATCATAAATGCTTGAGAATGCCAATATTACTAAAGAACATTGAGAATATTACTATTCCTTAAGTTTTGTGGCCTTCTAGCAGCTTGAGTTACAGTGCGTGGAGAAAAAAATTAAACATTGCAGAAAGGACTAGAACAGTCCTTTGCCTCCTCAAATTATTCTTGTACATACAGAGTGAAAGTTTTACCTGATGCAGCCCAGTTATTAATGAAAAGTGATGTAAAGTAGGAATCAGAAAAGCAACAGCTTCATACTCTGAACATTCATTCACCCAGGGGTCTTGTGAATATTGGCCTGTTCTGCTGTTAATAGTCCTGGATTCTTTTTATTTTGTGCATATTTGTATCCATGATACATGGTTTCATCTCGTATTTGTATTTCTCTGGAGTGGCAGGAGGAATAGACCATGGTCAGCAGTTGTAATAGCATTTTTTGATGCTGTTCTCCCTCGGATTTTATGTGGTGTTGCTCATAATTTGAGCAGTTGTTAAGGCAGCTTGCCTTTATCAAGTCTTTTTTTTTTTGTATATCCTTTTATTGGTACATTTTAGGTGTACAATATAATGACATTCATCATTGGAGATACACACCTTTACATACTCTCTTGGTTCTTATTTTTTCCCCTTCCCTCTGCCCTCCAACCCCTCCATGCCTCCCTATTTACAAAGACTTTGTTTCTGTTTTTTCATTTTCTCAAATTAATTCCATTCCCTTCTATCCTTTCCCCTAGCCCTCCCACTTCTCCCTCCCCTTTACCCCTTTTCTTCCTATTTCACATTATCTATTATACGTTTTACTCCTTATTTACACTTTCAGTTTCTCACACTAGAGAAACTATTTGGTATTTACACATGTGTGTCCTGTTTATTTCACTTAAGAGTATCACCTCAATGT